AGCCCAGGGGAACGCGGGGACTCCGAGAGCCCGGAGTCCCTCGGCCACGTGGGGGAGAGTCCCGACCGTGCTTTCCCGGGTGAACGCAAGTTGAAATTTCATGTTTCGTTGAACATTCAAAGAAAAAAGGAAGGTTGGATTTTGTAGAGGGCTTTTACCGGAGGAAATTAAAAAATATGTATCTGACATATCTGAAGACTTGGTTTTAACTTGCATCCTGATTGTTCCAGATGTTCCCCAGATGTCAAAGGGAACCAGGCATTGAAACAGCAGAACACATTTGTTTTAACACGCTCTAACTTTAGTATTGCCAAAGAATTAAAAGGCCTGGGTTTGTTTTGGTTTTTCCTTTCGCTAACAACTTCAATGTCTATTAATTGTCCACTAATCAAATGGAAGGTGAATTAGTTCCTTTTTATTTCAGACAGCATGAGGTTGATATACATCTTGATCCTGGCTGCTTCCCAATCTCTTCTCTTTGGGTTTGTATGGTACTGAGCAGCTCTGGGAAAAGTGCTATAAACATTGGCAACGATCGATGCACAGCCACAGGGGTAAAAATAGAGAGATGAGCTCTTCCACAAAGTGCTTATAAAATCCATCAACTTGGGGCTTCCCTCTTTAGCTCTTCCCTTGACAGATTTCAGGATGTGTGGAAGAATTGAAAGCTGCGGGAAAGGTTGGAAATAGCTTGAGCCCCCTGACCAAATGTCCTTAACAGGGCCCAGCATCCCCGGGAAGCCACAGACAGGGCAAAGAGCCCCTCCACGACTTGGGGGGGGAAGGAGCTGCAGCTCCTAGGGGCAAAATCCCCTGGGGCAGCCCTTGCCTTCTGCCTGGGGAAAGGTAGGATGAGGGAAGTGTGTGTTCTGCCTGGTCTAAACCTTCTCTTCCCACTGTCTTTTATCTTCTTTGTATTTCTGCCTAAAAGAGACATCAACGTTCAACTAAAATTTAATATTTTAGCACTTTTTCAAGAACCATTCAATATTATTTCCATTATCTCATTGGGGTGCAAGGGAACCAGGTGTTCTTAAGACTCCTAAGGTGAATTTATTTGCATTGAAGGAGATGCTGTCAGTGTCCGACACTCCTTGTAGTGTGTCAGGTCTACAGAAACTGGAACCTAAGTGACAGACTGGGCACAGGCACAGCGGTCCGTGTCGGTTGAACAGAGCAGGTACAATTTGTGCGTGCATTCTCTTAGAGGAGTTTGGCGATACACGTTCTGTGCATCTGTGTGGATGAAGGAGGGTGGCATCTGTGCACCGTACGGCACGGTACCAGCGCTTCCCGCGGCACAGCTTTGCACATGGGCTTCGGAAGGAAGGGGTGGCGATGTCGTTGTGCCCATGTCGTTGTGCCCATGT